TAACACATGTCTAAAACATGTTATTGACTTAATTTTTTTGCAAAACTTGTAATGTTTGTGTATTGTTGATTTCTGTTGCAGGTCCAGAATGCCAGGCGAAGCCACAGAAACGGTCCCTGTTACAGAGCAGGAGATGCAGCAGCCCCAGGCTGAGACGGGTTAGTACTGCTTTTAAATGTGCATGTCTGACTAAACGAACACGGGTTGTGTGAGGAGTCCTGGAGCTATAGCGTTCATCCTTTCGGCAGTTTTTTATTTAAAAAAAAATAAGGCAAGTACTGTAAGTTTGATCAGTTTATTTTTATGGTGTTTTTGCACCTGTTTTAGATTTTCTGAAGGGTTTTTTTTAATGGTCCTCTACCAGCTGTTGTAGAAACTTCACAAAGCGAGTTTCTCTAGTTGGAGTGGTGACATGTTTTTTTTGTAGGGTGGGGATGCTGTTTGAGTCAGATTTCTCCAGCTAGAGGTTTTTAGGTTAATGTTTTTGAGCCCCTCCCTGGATAAAAAAACAACTGCACTAGTTCTGGCAAAGGGATAGTTCAGCCAATTTTTATGTTGATCCAAACCTGTTTGGATTTCTTCTGTGGAACACAAAAGAAGATATTTTGGAGAATGTTATTGACTTTAATTTTACAGACAAAAAAACATATTTTTATATATATAGAATGTAATTTGTCAACATAATAAAAGAAGTTAGAAAAAAAGTATTAGCTCTTTAAGCTGCAGCTCTTACATTCAGTGTAGTTTTTTTATTTCATTATTTAGCCTACATAATGGAGATATTGATTGGTTATGAGGTAGTAAAGGGTAGTTCTGAAAATCCAGTGAGTGATCCAGGACTGCCTTGCTCAATGGTGTGTTTGCCTGTACTGATTAATATTACACTAAAGTTGAGTTGTGATATAGAAAGCACATGCATCCTTAAATTTTTGTGCATGGAATATGGACTGTACCACTCTGCATGAACATTTTCCTAACATTTCACCGAACTTGAGTGATTGCAACCTGAATAGCTGTAAGACATTTATAACAAGGTTTTTTTTTTTTTTTAAAGATATTTAGTCTTGGATTAGGTACTGTATTGTTCTTTATTGGGGGGATTTATTGTACATGAATATTTGC